GTGAGCAGTGTATCTAAGACATCTATAATCATAACCTAGTAAATTACGAATAGGTTCGATAAGTGTTGCAATCTTTAAACATGGACATTCGTAGCTAGCACATATTACATGTTTTTCAATCAGCTTGATTTGATAGTGTATTATTAGCTGACTCGATAAAGCATGTTCAGATTATGTTTCAATAAATCTGAAAATGAAAACAATTGATTTAATGTGTATTTGTCATATGATATAATGTTGTATAGTTTATGTAGTTTAGTAGAATAGAAGTATAGAATAGAAGTATACTTCGTACTAAACTCGTATCAATAAGCATTCTCGAGAAGCAAGTGAAAAGTTTAGCAGTAGACGGTAATATTCTATATGACGCAAGTGACAAATCATTGTTATTATAAATCATTTCGATAAAGATACGACGAACAAAAATGTTTGCTTTCATAGAACTACTGTAGAGCTCATAACCAGTTAACAGACCGATATTTATGAATAATGAACATTAAAATAACTTTCTACATTTTATTACTTTAAAATCAATTACATTTTAAAGTATACTTTGACAGCTCAAGCGTGAATTGCAAATAATTTCGCCAACAGACATACGAAATTTTACATATGATGTAGACTTAATCAAACATAGCAATCAATGTTGTGAACTAAAATAAAACAACTTATACAAACCTGGATTTTCAATCCTTCGGTAATGATAAGGATTGATACAAACTTCGTCACGTTTTGATTGGAAAGAATATTCACAAGTAGCGATAGGTCGTAACTCGTGCTGAGTGTGTAAATCTGGCCATCGCCATAGTTGGCAGTAAAAAACATGGGGTAAACCTTTTTTCTGAGCAACCTGATGAGAATCACAAGTAGATAGAAACAATAAAAAACATCAACGAAAATAATTGACGTACATAATGAAAAGATTGCTAAATAAACCCACTTAATCGATCAGAGGTCTAAAACCACGTATGAAATAATGAAACATATGGTTTAAATGTCACAAAAATTATTTTACTTCATCATGACAGACAGGGGGTATTGTGATTTTTAATTGAAACGATTTATACTCAATAATATACAAGAAATTAAGGTATTTTAAAACTGCATATCTACAGTTAAGAAGAATGTAGAACTAGATAGACATGAAAATATTTGAGCAAAATAACTATGAACTAGTTAACATAGATTATCAAACTAATATAGCCATAAAATCTGACAATTTTGTGAACTAACTCAATGAATCAATAACTGGCCAAAAAGGTTATTTTTCATTTCATATTTACGTCCAATATTATTTCCAGTAACTACTGGTTTTGTTTGTCAAAAACAGATGATCATAATTGTAAATTATGTATACAAAACGTAATCAAAAGTTCAAGTTTGAGCATTGTTCTATCTAGCCTGACTTAATGATCTATTTTGAGAGTATCTAGAATCATACTAATCAGTTTCATGAATCTTTAAATCCACATATCTACTGAGTGTTGAACTTGGGAACTTAAAAGCAAATCATGCCAGATGAAAACCTTACATACGTTGCGTTATGGAGCTTACTGAAACTTTAGACTATGTAAAAAGTCTATAGGAAGAGGGAGTCTGAATGAAATAGCGCTGACATCCAAAAAATTCATAGTATCAGATTGGTTTAACTCAAAAAATTAAGGAATGACAAAGTCAGTGAAACAGTGAGATGGTATTTTTATTGGCAGCCATACGAATTAATAAGTGACTAATCATAGCTACAGTAAAATAGTTGATAGGTTTTAGTTTCTCATACAAGGTCAACAAGGCTATCAATGAAGAGGATATGCATTATTAAACCAAATAATTTGAACAGTGATCGAGAATTATGTATAACCCAGTCTACCAAAATCAATAGATCGAGTGTCAATACAATAAAAACTTTTTTCGAGAAATACGTAAGCCGCTAAACAGTCAAATCAGTGATTCGCATTTCCTGATATGACAGCAGGATTCCACCTGGTTGATCAAGAGGATTTCCAACGGTATATTACCAAAAGATACAACAAAGCTTGTTAATCTACTTAAGGTTCTTAATCAAGGAATTATTTGTTCAGTTAGGGCTTGTTAAAGAACTGTTAGTGTTATCTATATTAAATGGTGTCTCTTAATGCTGCTTGATATCGGTTACTCTGAAAAGTAAGTACCACAGGTTGATTTATAAGTAACTGATCCTCCAACTAGAGACCAACCAGCTATTGAGGGACGAAATGTTTTTAAACACTGTAAGTAACGAGCAAGGAATCGGTCGTGTACAACGTAGAACTTTGTACGTAAGTACATCGCTTCAAGTTGCCATACCACGTTAGCAGAGACGCAACTGTCAATTCAATAAGCAAGGAATGTACCAGATGAGTCATAGAACGGATCTTCACTAATGCTGAGTCTGGACCTAAGTAGTTAATAAGCAGTGACTTGACCAATTTAGATACCCTTTGAGCAGCATTAGCCACTTTGGGTTGTTATCTAACAAATCCTTAGAACAGATACAGATTCCCTTGATTATGGGCACATTACAGGAACAGACAACAGTGCATTAATTCGAGTTCTGATAACCTCCCGCTGAATTATAAGAACTGAAATTGGAAGGTATGGGTAAGTGAGGATGTCTAATCGATCAAAGTAACGAATCTTCAGAAACCGACCTAGTATGTCCAACCACTGACTATCTTCACGGGTGATGCTATCTAGTGTAGTAGGTTGGAAGAAAAATAGGAAGGAACAAAACAAAACACAGCACCAGTTCATGAAATCTTCGACGATCAGACTGAACAATGTTAGGTGTGGACTACCCGGTTCGAACTCGCAAGGTAGTCGCAACCAGTGGTCAGAGACTTTGAATAACATGATTCAGAATCGTTTGCAATGGCGCATATGCATCCATTGTTTGTCTTCTCCCGGATTCGAGTCCTCTGAACTTCTCATTACAATCCTCCTCTTTTTAAATTTACCTCACTGGATTAAACTTTTCGAATATCTTCGATCCCTAATCCTTTTGATTAACGCTAATACTTCTACTACCTCTACTACTATGGGATTCGAATTGCCAATTCGATCTCTCTGTGCTATTTTGGTTTAACGTTGGAGGTAATCAAATGGGACGGTCAGCTGAGCCAAGAACTATTCTTGGTGAAAAAAGTTGAGGTAGTAGTTTTGTAGAAGGGAAACACTGGAGATAGCGTGTACGGTTCGTTATTCATGCAGTGTTTAACATATAATCTAGGATCTATTGATTTTTCAGGCTACAACACTACTCATGAATCAATCGTAATCCGTCAGTTCTTCATACTGCTTTAATTTCAGCTTAATGATAAAGAGTACCCGGTCGCAAACCAATACAAACTTGTGCTTTCGGGAACCTATCAAGCTAACAGAATTTCACGTTATTGAAAACCCAGTGAGTTGGTACCACTCAAAGTGACTATTGGACTACTTGTGCAGCCGAAATGAACCGTCAGGAATTCTAGGTCTATCAAGGGGCTTTAGTCCTACGGCCTACGATCGACAGAACCTGAAACCTCTTTTTTAATATCCTACCGTCAGATAAGTCGTGTGCGTCTTGACAGAGCTGAAGAAAGATATTTTGCAGTAAAATGGGACAATAAATAAGAAAAGTATGAGTAAACTTATAATATATATATATATGTATATATATAGATATATCAAACTGTAAATGTACAAAAATGGGCCAAGTTATTATGTTATGCATTTACATGATCTGTCAGAGAACTATTAATTTGAAAATGGCTAAATAATTTAACAATAACTTAATACAACCATAAATTCCATTTCAGGATGTTTTTCTGGTTCAACTGTAGGAAAATTATGATGCTTTTGATTTCATGGTTGAAAACTCTTCTTTGAAAGACTTTCTGAAGTTATTTGCTTTTACTGGCTTTGCACGTGATATTAACAAACTTAGGTGTTTCGAGTTACTTAGAGGCCTGGTACATAATATTAGAATGATAAAGCTTAAATCCAATGTTAAATTTCATAAGGCCATTAAGAAAATTGTAGCCGCTAGAACACTGTCTAACGAACCATTGCTGATCGTTAGGGTGAGACTAACTTTATTAATTCACAACAGATTATTACAAAAACTATATTTAAACAGGCTTATGCACGAAAACTTACTTGGAGACGTCCATCCAATGAACGCGGAATAGTAACACAGCGAGTAGATGGATCTTGGCTAACTAGAGCACGTTCCAACTCGTCCAATTGTGTCCCATTTTTCAACCTTTTAACTAAAGACTTAACAGCCTTTTCTTTCCACTTTTCTTCTTTATCTGAACCTTCCTTGATGTAACTTATAAGTCGTTTTACAACAGGAGGTGGACTTGTAAAGAGACTCATAATTATCCGTAATATATGTAGGGTTAATGCTATCACTTCAAGTGAATAATCAACAATTTCGGCTTATATCAGTTCACACATAGATCCTGAATTCAACTTTCTGGTGAATCATATAACCCTCGTAAGGTACTATGGTCAAACGAAGCGCCGCAAGAAAACCGCCCTAGAGTCCAAGTAAATTATATTGGGAAAAGTGATATAACTACAGACTTCAAACTGAACTTGTCTGGAATAACAAACAATCGGTTCTTTTGTTTGAAAAGCTCAGTCTGAAGAAATAACTTTTTGCTGAGAACGGAAACAAGTGTTCTTTACACTCTTAGGTATTGAGAAGGATGAAGAAATTGTGGAATGAGCGAAATAAAACCCCAAATTCTTTTTGAATAGCTTTTCGGAGGATAGAAAAGAAGTTAGTTTAAAATAGCACTTGATTCCCATTTTCATTATCGATGAATATTCATATACAAAACAGCAAGAATAGATGATATATGATATTATTATAAAGTTATGTATTTTGTTTCTATAAGAACTTATTCTAGATATTTCAAAATGTGTCCATTGGATTGTAATACTGTATGGCACTATTAAACCGTGTTTGAGTTTGCGGTTTATCAGTCATATGTTTAGCGTTTACAGAGGTGCCTCATATTATTTGTGCTGAGAAGCATAGGAAAACGACCTTATAGGTTCAAAGAATTTTAGCAAGAAGCTCATATATTTCGAAAGCAAAGTATCAGTGGTCACTAGTTTTACTACATCGTAAAATTATTCAGGATCATCTTGCGTGATATCCATTAGGACAAATGGTGCATAGTCTGCCCTTCTACCGAATTGAGTGCTCATCAGTTAAAACTCAAAGAAGTCTCGCATAAAGTTCATTCAAGGAAAAATATTTATTGTACTTGCTGAAACAGGAAACGACGCACTTAGAAGTGAAAGAGATGGTGTTAAAGTGCGTTCATCCACAAAACGATTCTCTAGAAACAGATTAACAGAACTAGCTGTGAACTTAGCTATGCATAGATGAGAAAATCCGAATTATTTGAAATCTAATCATTGACATCCATTCATGTTCCAGAAAAAGATAAGGTGGAAGCGAAAAAAGCAATTGAGAGATCAAGCCGATTCCTCCACAGAAGCGGTAAACCGAATACCGACCAAAGTGTCACCCCTTCCATATATGTATAAACTCACTATACAGCTGATAATCTTGTAGTGGAACGCTTCTACGAAGAAAATACAATTTGTAAAAAATGAACATCATTGTACTCGTTTTGTTTAACTGTACCAAAAACACTTCTACGACTTCTTGCGCGCAATGTTCTCTTCGCGTTGCTGCCATCTTTCTATATTTGCTGTTCCCGATGTAATGCCTACTGTCTCCTTCAATAAAATCTCGGACCATGGATTTGTTTTAATATTCGTGACATGACCATATGGAACATTTAGTGGTGAGCATAGTCCAATCTGGTATCTCGAATCGCTCACTACAATCTAATGAAACAGCTCTTTCAGTACACGCAACGTGACAATCCAGCAACTGATTCAAGTCAATCGAACGTATTAGATTCACCGTCTAGGGATATAAGACGGCTATGAATAATGGTAATTTTATACTGAGTGACAATGGGTGAAAAAAATATTACTTATCACATAGTGGCGTCTCAAGAACTTGAAGCCTTGTCCTCATCAATATGTGGATGAGATACTCAAGACCTCGCCACCAGAAGCTGGTGAATACTCTGGAAGACATCCGAGGGCGAACCATAAAATCAGTCTAAAGATGCGAATTCGAACCAAGCGAATAACAGTCTGATTCACTGGAACTTCCCTCAATAGACTACTACCTGCTAAGAGGCAATCATTTATCAAACTACATCATTCTTCAAGACCTATATAAGCTTGGTTTCGATACAAAGTTTCCGTGGTGCACCTGATTATCGGAGGTAAAGCACAACAAAGTGGTCTCTAGGTATGTCTTCTATTATTAACAAGTAATTATTTCTTTGAATTCGTTGTCAGCTGAGGTAGTTCAAGCGACTTCTCAGGAGTTCTTGACGATGTAATTTGGTTTATTTTTAGATTCAAGAATCTCATTCGTGACTTCTCCGAAAATAATTTGTCTCCTACAAAATATCCATGTTATTACTGATGATTATCACTAACAAGGTTCGGTGAGTATTTGACCATCAGTTAAAAGAAGTAGAAATACTGAAAGTTTTTCTCATGTATACATTTATTACTATTATGTTTCATTATCAGTAACAAGATTTCCAACTGTTAACACCCTATAAATTTCGATTCAAGACACAAAACCTAGTGCTGCTAATATGGAACCAAGATGACTTTTCATATTTGGTAATTTCTCAAGCATAAGTATCGCCGAAAAACAAGTATTTGTTGATAATTATCTCCTTAGATTTGTGAATTTCACCACATCATGGGAAACTATTTCTGATGAAGATGGTATACTTCTGTTTAGTAACAAATCAAAATGCCTCCAAGAGCTCGTCACCGCTGACGAGTTTTCGTGTGGTCAGCGAAGTTGTCTAACACCTCCAAACATTTGGTTGCAATTAATATTACAATATATGTTTTTGACGCCTGGGACGACATTTAGACATTGGGAAGGTTAACTCTCTCTATTAGTCTAGGTATTCGTGCCAATTTTTGTACATTACTGCACTTCCGATTTGGCACCTAAGTGCAGTACGCTCGTTTGTGTTCACGGAGTTCTTTCTTAATTCAGTACTGGTCCATACTTGACTAATAGAGCACGAAGTGGACATTTCTGGGTATCACCGATTGGTAAATAGAATACTTTTACCCATGACTACTACTGCGCTGCAATCGAGCTAAGCAGTGGAACTTGAACATTAATTCACGTGAGGATGTCACAAAAGATCACATTCAGAGGGTTGTAATGTGGGGTATGACCAGGAGATATGTCAAACATGATAAATGTTTGGCTCGTTTCTTAAGATTCAGCAGGAAGGATGCCAAAAGATTACTAGAGATTAAACGCTTCCAGATAAACCTATTTCATATTCCTACGAAGCTGATATTAAATCACATAAAATGAAAGATGAAAATTTCATAATATAACTAATAAGAATGGTCAGACATTTAAAAAGCTTATTAACGAAATACAGAAATAAGCCGCAGAATGTAATTTCAGTGATCAACCTAATGCTTTGCTGCGCCATCATTAAGTTGTACTAAAAAGATCATTCAATTGTCGAAATGATTATTTCATGAGACAAGAAATTCTGAAGCAAGACTCTGAAATTTCAAGGGGAAAAACCGCATCCCGAACATGCTTGCATTGTTGCCTAGAACGGTCATAAGACTCTACAGTTTGTCAGCTTCTCCACCAAGTAAAACTATGTGATCTTTATATTCTCAGTCAACTAGCGATTCTCCTGGCAAAAGTTCGACTCCTAAGAAGTCAGTTGATGAAAGTGTCTAATCTGAAAGCATGTCAGTGACAAAGTCAAACAACAGTGAATAAAGTTGACATCCCTGACGGACACCACTTGAAGTAAATTATTCTGATTACAGTTCGCCATAAGCTCCCATTCGACCAGTGTTATTCGAGTGTAAGGTGGATGTACATCTTTGGTACACCTTTCAATGATAGACACTGCCACAATACCTCATGATCCACAAAGTCCACAGAGCCTTAAGGTCCAGGAATATAACTACTTTAGGACGCCTTAATGTGTTCCAGGACCTGTCATAGTGTGGAAATGTGGACTATACAACCACGTCCAGGTCTGAAAGCAGACTGGTTATCTCTAGTCTGCTCTTCACGAGCTCTAGTTGGACGTCTAAGTATAATCGAGGCTAACAATTTAGAAACCATATTAGTTAGAATTATTCCCCTGTGATTGTCACAAGAAGACTTTTGTCTTTTCAGATAAATTGGGACAATTAGCCACTGAGACCAGTCAGATGGGATTACGTCCAGTTCCCAGATTCTACCTAAGATCTCGGTCAGTCTAACTGTTAAAACTGGACCACCATTCTTAAAAATCTCAGGGGTATGCCTATCAGGACCTGCTGCTCTACCTCGCTTCAGATTTCCTATCGCCTTCTCAACTTCATAAAGACTAGGGGGACTTATATCAATTTGCCGTTCAAGATAACCGGAGATCGTGGGTAACCGAAGTGTGGCTGAAGGCCAGTTGAACTGCTCTCTGACGTGTTCTGTCAATCGATCCAATTTCCTGGAATGAATGAATGAATGAATAATAAGTCCATCTTTATCAGGGACAGTTTCACTTACAGTCGAATTTTGAACACCGGTTTCCTTGATAAGTCTGAATTATTGTCTACCGTTAACTATCGCTTGTGTCTTTCTCCTTCGCTACCTACCGCTGTTCGCTATCATAGCGCAAGCTTTTTATCAGCCTGCGTTTATGCTGAATCATCTCTTCATCATGTTCATAGACAGAAGCTATGGGTTTCCGAGCATCAATGATAATAAAATTCTCTTTTTTCCTCACCTTATAGTTTACCCTAATAGCAGATGCCTTATTGTGAGAATCACTTAAACGGCCGCCTAACTGTTTATCTTGTTGCTCCTGAAATATATTATAGGCCATGCTATGATTCACTAGAACCCTGATAAGTTTCCTTGTGTTTACTACGTCCGTTAAGCCTCAAAACAATACGCGCTCGCACTACAGAATGGTCTGAACCTAAACAAGTGCTCCCGAATAAGCGACAGTCCTCTCACGAACCCCTCTATCGGTGGCTGATGGCGACGTGATCTAGTTTTGTCTAGAGTTCAGACAACTTTGGGTGTCGCCAGGTCATGCGATGTTTTCTATTATGCTTAAAGTTGGTGTTTGTTAGAAATAGACGGCTATCTGAGCATAGTTGTAACAAATAGTCACCATTATCAGTCCTCTGAGCCGCGACACCGTAGGATTCACCGAGATGTCTTTCCTTTTCACTACCTACCTGAGCATTAAAGTCACCAGATATTATCACTATATAAGATCGCTTAACGTTTTGGAGGAGGTCAGAAAGTACTCAGTAAAACTCATCTTTTACCTTGTTTGAACTGCAGTTAGCGGGCACGTAGTCAGGTACGACGATGAGGCGACGGATAGTGTCTCTGTCTTTCTTAGTCCCTACTGTCCTGTTTAGTCGGACAGCGCACAAGCGATTGTCTACCAGGGTCCAGTCTACTTCTGACCTGGGATTCTCTGCTATACCTACACCAGCAAGGCCGCGGGAAACAGCAGCGTGGCTCCCAGATACTGGAAGGGTAAACCGAGTTCATTTTCTATTTGAACATGGTGATATCAAATTATTGATTTTACTCGGATCTTGTATGCGCGTTCTGGAGACTCAGCATACATCTACGGAGAGATGGTATATATTCTTCTTCGCGAGATTACCAAGTTAGATTCCAATAGATCCAGAAAACATAACGCAAGTAATTTCTGGGAGAAGAAGTATATAGCTCCGTGGTCTTGTGATATCAAAACAATATCAATACCGGAATGAAGAAGCTGCCAACAACCACCGAGAAGAGAAGCGGAATGGGGATTACGCGCCTGGCACGCAAGAGATGGTCTTTGGTACGGCTAGACAAAAGGAGTAAAATAGAACTACTTTTGTTAGAATCAAATGCAGTAATAAATGTTTCCATTTCAGCAATTGCGTTATCTTTGTAAAAGTATACCAGTACACACCGATGACAAGATATTCCAGTGCAATCTAAGGAAGCCTGTGGTTATATTTTACACAATGTTCGGACATTAAAAGCTCCAGTATGTAGTTTAGAACGGGGTTTTAAGAGAACAGGAATAACGGTTCGTGAGCTCGAAACGTCTGCATCAGCGTCGTGAGGTGACGAAGGAATAAAAGTAGGGTTGGTCTCGGAGGTAAGAGTTTAAGTAGGATTTAACTATGACCAATTTAGTCTCCTTTTGCGTTTACGGGTATGAGGGCAGTTGTCACTTACAGGCACCCCACACCGTGGGAGGGTAATTTTTGAGGAACCGAAAATCTGGTTAGCGTTGGTCTGAACGACCTTGGAGCGTGACCACAGAGCCCAAGAGACAATTAATTAAGACAGGTCACACACGGCATTCTTATAGTAAAATTTTGAAGTGTTATCTCCACTCTTCAAATAGCCTTACCGAAGGAGACAGAAATCTGTGAGGTAAGGTGTGACATTTTTAGGATTGAACTTTTCTAACCCCTTTCTTTCTTGTCAGAAGGCAGCATCGCTGCAGATGCTGGTTGTCTGAGGGAAACACCTTACTGATGTCATACCCCTCTACAGTCAGCAATAAGACCTCGCCCTGAGACCACCGAAACATTTTTACTATGGACAGATTTTTAAACAAAGTACAGCAGACAAAGTAACCCTTCAGTACCCTGCATAGTTTCCTGTGAGTTATGCAATATCATCCGGTTTTGGTACATTTATTCCTACGATTGAAGGTGTCTGGGTAAACATGTGTGAAATTGACGTTAATGAGTTCAGAGACAGAATGCAGGCAATAATTCTAATCAATTATAATTGGTAAAACCAAGAAAGCCAATCTAATTTGAACTGACTGATACAATCTCCCATATCTTACTAATGCCCACAGACTGGAAAGTGCGTAAAAATATGGACCGGCTGTGTACTAGTCACGCATAGATCTAAAATGACAGTGGAATAGGCCTGTTGAAGAACCAAATGCATATCAGTAACCTTTAAACAAGTACTTTTCGCATGTACATGAAGTCAAGAATAATTATACCTGGTAAACTAGAAAAAAACCAGTTACGTGGTTGTATAGTCCAAGATTATCTCTATTAGAATAAATATTTATCACAGGGTGTACATAAATCATATGTTGAATAAATTGTTTGTTAGTTTACTAATGTTTCAAAAGTATTCGCTTGCCTATTAGATTACTAAACGAATGTATAGAAATTTACAAAACCATAACAAGAATGTTAAGCATTTTCTTAATCATGTTCTTGCTTGATGATCAAAATATTTTATATATTAAAACCACAACATTACAGGTACCACAAATTACAGTATCTAATGAAATAAATACTGTATTATGCCAAGTTATTTACAAGAAATTCAGTACATGCAACTAAGAGTTATATGATAATTTTAAATATATGTTGATTAAGAAGATATTTATTTACAAATTAACTGGTTACATGATTATAAGACTTTAAAGTTAACGGTTCCCGAGACATCAGAAAGGACAAAAGTGATATAGTGATTGAATGGTGAATATTAAAGTGATAGGCTGATGGCTTTCAAAAGAAGTGTTACACACTTCAGTTGTTATTATTTATTGATGTCATAATATGTACAGAATATTTCTAAATAATAACAAATCAAGAAACTCAGATATTATTATTATTAACTGTAGATTGTTCACTCGTTTCACTGTTATTATCGAAAACCATAAGAGAATGAGAACTTTCAACAGTATCAACAATTTTACAGTCATCATCAATATCTACACGATTATCAGAAAATATTTCTTCACATGAGTTTTGTATTACACAATCATCAACTAGTGAATCTTTTGTTTCATCACAACAGTGTGATATCACGTTACACTGACTGATAGTATCCTGATTTTCAATATGAGAAATGCTAACAGGTAGTTGTTTGTGTGTGATAAGATGTGAATCCAAAAATAAACTATGCGTTGAACTATCTTCGGATCCATCGACAATTCCTTTATTTTGTAGGCTAATTCGATCATGTGAAGTATTTAATGGAAATGAAGAACCACTGAGTGCAGTTTTTAATAGTGATGTTGAATTATCAGTTGGAATTTCTGTTATCTGTTCAGTTTGTACATGATCAATGGAAGAGAATTCATGTTCATTTATACTGGGAGTATTAGAAGAAAGAGTGATATCATTAGTAGATTTTACAGATGATGAAGAATGTTCATCAGTATTGACGATTGCATCATCTTCTGACAATTTATTTGTAATTAATGAAAGTTGTTCAGATTGTTGAATAGTGTTGTTTACTTCACACTGCGGTAAATTAACATCATTATTATTATTATTATCAGGCATGTGAATTGAATTAGTTGTTGGAATTGATTCATCATCACACATGATAACATCATCTAGTTCATTATTGATTTGTTCAGTTGATGAGTTTTGTTGTGGAATATTGGAAACATTTAATGTAGAATTAGAAACTAATTGAGAGTTGGATATAATATTATCATTATTGAATGATACTGGTATATCTAAGGTGTCTGATAAACAAAGAGTATTGATTGAGTCTAAATTGTCTTTTTTCACATATGGTATATCTATTTCAGGTACACAAGATACAACAGATTCATTGTTAGTCAATTGTACTGAACTATCATTGCATGAAAGAATTGTATCATGTTGATTGAGTAGATCAACTAGACACGGTTCAAGGTGTTCTGTATCACTTTCATCAACTTTTGGACTGAGAGGATCAATCTAGAAGAAAAAATAAGAGAAAATATTTTGAAATATCAAACAAATATGTGAACTTTACATAATTACTCCACTGTTGTAAATTTTTAACACAGCAAAAAGAAAAGAAAAACAGTTACGAATTTGTTTAACTGCATAGATTTTCAGCCTTGAGATTAGAGTGTGAGTTATTTAAAAGCGAAATGATATACTTATTTTACATACTAATATCAGGAAATATCTCATTAATGAAGACTAGTTAAGAAGGAAATATTGTGAAATAATGTCATATAATATAAATCTTGTACAAGAAATTCTCAAACAGTATCAAGGCAAGTTACCATGAAGCAGATGGATGTTTAATTATTTGGAAATAAAAGCATTGATACAAACTGACACCTAAATATATGTACGCCAAGTAAACAATCAATGAATTAATGTGTGGTCTGAGATACTGGTCGAGTTCCCAAACCAAAGCCGGTGGTTTCCTCAAGGGGTTATCCTAGAAGCTCTAGGCCTAGAAATTTAGTGCGAAATACAATGGAACAACGTGAGGACATCCAGTACATACAAGGTTTTCCAATCCATCTAGGTGGATCTTGTGTGTCCACTAACCTAGTTTAGGCAATAGAAAATTGCTTTCCATCTTCTTGATGTCGTAAACGACATCTCCACCATGAGAAGCTAGAGAGTAGTACATTTTCGATAACTAGTTTAAACACATCAATCAAATTAAGAGGAACAATACAATAAGCGAATACATATTTTCAACGAGTTAATTTTAAAAGTTGTACAATTTTGGTGAAGTTGCGATTATTCACACAAGTTCATCAAAAAATACCAATCGAAGTAATGATAATAAACGAAATAAAATATGGAAACTAACAAATAGATCTTCCAACCATACACATAAAAGACATATTACAAATAACAACACGATTATTAAGGCCATTCGGTATAGATCTATAAAATAAACCATTTCGACAGTCAGAAACACTGACACCTTTTTCCTCTTTTTTTGCATGAACACCAACTAGGTGTCAAGCATTTTTACTGATATCAAAACATGCGGATAATTTTGTAGGCACATGTTTAACTGAGAAAATATTGATATTTTAGATAGAGAAAATATGAATAAAACTAAAAAAAACTTTTAGAAGCTTGATAATTCGGATCGGTCAACAACACACCACGAAAGCCATCATCCAGAAGATTCAAGTATATATGAACAGTTATCTTCGCAAAATAATTCGGATTCGTTGGCCAGACACCATCAGCAACAACCAGTTGTGGGAGAGAACACACCAGATTCCAGTGGAGGAGGGAATCAGGAAGCGGTGGAAGTGGATAGGACACACATTGCGGAAAGCACCCAACTGCATCACAAGACAAGCCCTCACTTGGAACCCTCAAGGTCAAAGGAAGAGAGGAAGGCCAAGGAACACAGTACGTCGAGAAATGGAGACAGACATGAGAAGAATGAACAAAAATTGGACAGAACTGGAAAGGGAGGCTGAGGACAGAGTAGGTTGGAGAATACTGGTCGGCAGCCTATGCTCCTTTGGGGGTAACAGGCGTAAGTAATGTAATGTAATGTAATATAGAACGGAAAATTTTATGAAGGCAGTTGGAGGCCAGACGGTTGGAACGGCTGCTGGCTAGTGCACTGCTTGGGTGGCTCGGTAATCCGCTTCGGGGTGCCAGGTCCAGCTAGGTAAGCCCGCCTTGCCGATTGGGGTTTGTGGGTAGTGGACTAGTTGGAGGGATCTTGTTGATTCATAAGTGCCCGAGTGGGGGCCACTGCTCGTGTGCGTGCTTTTTGGACGTCCACCTGCCTGCAAACCAAACTGGACAACATGTATGTTCCCGATTGGGGCAGGGGTGATTACTGTTGGCTACAGTGAGAATCCTTGTGTTGCCTGTGCATGTGCAGCAGGCTTAATGGTTAACCATGACTAGAACGAAGAATTTTATGAAATATGAGCAATATATGATCAGTGTATAGTCAAATTCTCATACACATTTATTTGTTGAAAGCGATTGTACACTCCTGAAAAGGTAATCGTTGGAAAGGATTCTTTCACTTAATAAATTACTTTGTTAATAATTCGGAATGATTTTAAAGTGTTAACACTCTGCCTATTATCAAATTATGTAACATTTACAAATACGATTATTTTTAAGGTAAAAAATGAATCCATGAGAAACAAAAACGATTTCATATTATTTTATTTCAATAATTAATTTTTAATTTATTCAAAAAATATGAAAAAACAATACCGTTATATCAGCCACGTCAATCCAACTTTGGCATAGATCCAACTTATCAATATTGTTATTATCTAAGCTGGGTTTTATTGTATGCGCAGTTTGCGATAATAAAGTATAACATGCTTGCGAATGTAAACCATCTGTTGCAGTATCCAGTTTTTTAGCAGCCCAACGACGAGCCCATCGACCAATTGGTTGAACAAATTTCAGCAAAGAAATTGCATATTCAATGACACTAGGATCTCCACCATAAATATCACTAAGTTGTGCTAACTGTATTGGTCTATGATGATGATGATGATGAGAAAAGAAAGTAGAAATAGAATTGAACAATGAAAAGTGATCAGTTCAATGAATTCTCTAAGATGTACACAGCACTGATAGTAATCGATATAGTTAGAGACGACCATGAATGACATGGCTGAAAACCGTTTGCAACGGTGCAGATACATTCATTCGTTGTGTTCTCTTTCAAATCTTAACATTCTAAATTCCTTATCACCTTTATCAATTTCTTTGTAAGTTTATTTCAATAGATTCCTCAAAGTCTAATCTTTCCGATTAATGCTAATACTTTTACTATCTCTACTACTATGGGATTTGAATTGACAATTGCATCTCTGTGCTAATGTAGTATAGCAACTTGAACTGATGTACGTTGCTACTGATTGATCGATGGAGGGTGTTCACAGATAATAAGCTCATGAAGATAATATCGGATTCAGCGTTTTACTTAGACAAGTACGAGACAGGAGAAGTGAACTCTTTCAAATTATATTGTCATATTTAAAACCACAAGTTTGGGTGCTAATTATACTGCTTTGTAATGGAAGAGGTATTTGAAAAATGAAGTGTTGTATTTATTAAAATAAATGGAACGGAAGGTCAATCGATTGACTATATGCAATGATAAAAAGTGGCCGAATGATGACTGCTTATGAGATCGAATTATTGACGTTAGTACCCACTTAAACTAAAATTAGGATAGCACAACAGTCAAGGCATTTACTAGGTACTTGAGTATTAACTACACTGTGTGAAGGCTCCCAAAGCTAAAATAGACAGAGTGGTGTTCGAACTAAGGAGTTAGTGGGCGAAAATTAAACGCCTGGACTGCTAAATCTAGTAGAATAAGCTTCTAACTAAATAAAACACTCATCTACAAAATATTTAACATAAGAAGAAAAAATACGATTAAAAGTTATTAAACCAGAAAATAAACTGCTGTCTAGTGGAGTTAACTATTCGATTCGAATCTCGCTCTTGTCATATGAACAGATGTGCTAAATAAGAGTACAGTTTATGTTTAAATTTGAAAATACAAAGTATTAACAGTGTTGTATAGAAAATTTGACAATTTACGTCTCCAAAGGCTAATGTCCGCGAGACAATCGTAACCGATGATTAACGACTTTAAATGACATGAATCAAAATTGCTTGCGATGGCGCAGATACATTCATTCTTTGTTTTCTCTTAAATCGTAATCTTCTGAATTCCTCATCACCACCGTCTTTCTCTTTTTAAATTTATCTCATCAGATTCTACTTCTTGAATGATATCTTCGAACCCTAATCAATCTATTACCGTTAATACTTTTACTACATCTGCTGCAATGGGATTTGAATTGACAATTGCATCTCTGTGATAATGTAGTATGGCAACCTGAACTGTTGTTCGTACGTACGAAGTTTGAAGGTGTAGCCGACTGACTGACGTTTTAGGTATTGGATTAAATAATAGAGTGAACTTACGAAAATATAGTTAATGGTCCATGTATAGCACCAGCAATCGGTTCATCTAGATTGTATTTTAGTTTGTTTAAATCATCCAGAATTTTTTGTTTACCTAAATTAAAACAAAAAACAACATATGAGAAGGTAAATAAGACTTATAAAGCAAAAGAAGATATAAAAGAAAGTAGTAGCGTTAGCAGGAAAGAGTCTTGACTATTGAATACTTGAAAATCAGGAGCGAATCGGATTTATACATATTTTTTTCAAATCAGTCAGTGCCGATTTTGACATTCATGTTTATTAGAATACAAGTTGTTCTCTTTTAAATTTTGTTCTGAATTGGGAAGAGTTAAGTGAAATATCATCAGTTAGTCAGCGACAACGCATGTACATCAGTTCAACTTCCCATACCACAATAGCTCAGAGATACAATTGTCAATGCAAATCCTATAGTGGTAGAGGTAGTAGAAGTATGAGCAGTAACCGCATAGATTAGGGTTTGAAGATGTTATTCAAGGGGTATAATCTAGTGAAATAAACTTGAGAAGAGGAAGATAAAGGTTATGAGGAGTTTAGATTAGAATTTGGGCGAACACAAACAGTGGATGCACCAAAGCCACTGCAAATAATTTTCAGCCACGTCATTCAACGTCTCTAACCATCGGTTACTATCATTTCACAGGGCTTAGTAAAGTATTGTAATCAGAGAATGTTAAACAGTAGAAAAATGTAACAAGTAAAAGATATCATTTCAAAAAGTGTATCTATCAAACTAACTCAGTGTATGTTCATCCATTTTTTGACTGTTTATTGATTTAGACTTTGTTAATAAATCTACCAAAAACGGAGGATAGGAGACATTATATTTAGGCTTTTGTTCTAAAGATTCTTCATTTTCACTAATGTCGTCGTTGTTATTTTGCTCTGAAGGATTTAAGTGTTGTTGAGAATTTGCACAAGAACGTGCTTTTGGACATTCAATTGCAGAAATTTCACCTTGGTTTGAGCACTGAATCAAAAAAAAAGATACAAAAAATAAGGAGAATTTCAGTATTTCTTTGCATAGTGAATTCATGAAATGAAAATAAAAGAGAAGCCTATTAACAACCTTTACACGAAAGTAAACTTTGAAACCTGTAATGGCTGAAGTATTGTGGTGCGCGCTACTTATAAGTAGTATATGACGCGAGTGAAAACGTAATGTCTGGCAGCAGAAGATGGGGGAAGATCAAGAAAGGAAGAGTGGGAACACAATGGAATTTGTATGAAACACATGAACAGTGAAATGTCAGACAATGGATTGATGTTTTGCGAATTAACGGTTTACGATATGGTTTTCCTATTTTACCAATTAACTCTTTAATATCGATAAATACAATTCGGTTGCCCTCACCTGTTTTCTCCTTCACTACAGTATGAGGCACTTGTGAAAAGCCAGTGCCTACCTTCATCATGTTATATGGATTGAAGTAGGGCTAAGGTGAGAAGAAGAAGAAACTATTTGTGTACTGGAAGTAAACTGCTGTTTTCAACCAATCAATATTATGATGTGGTATGGTAACTTGAACTGATAAACGTACGTACGTTCAAAGTTCTACGTTGAAGCTTCACGGTTATTTCCGGTCCCGAGCTCGAATAACGGAAAGGGTTGAAGGTACAGTTAACAATCTTGCCTCGTCAAAATCAGTCAGTCAGTCAGTTGCAACGTAGAACTTCGTACGTATGTACATAAGTTCATGTTGCCATACCACATTATTAGCACAGAAACGCAAATGTCAAATCAAATCCCATAGTGATAAAGATAGTAGAGGTATTAATGTTAATAAAGAAGACTAGGGTTTGAAGATATTATTCAAAAAATATAATTCAGTGAGATAAGGTTAGAAAGACAAAGGTAGAAATGCTGACGAATCCAGAAGATTAGGATTTGAGAGAGCTCAAAGAGTGGATGCACCTGCGCCATTGCAAACGATTTTGAGCCATGTCGTTCAAGGTCTCTAACCATTGATGACTTTCGTCTCGCGGACCCCAACCAGGTAGTCTACATCTACCAACATGACCACTTGTCAGTGACTTCATGGATTTCTGCCATGTTTTGGTCTGGCCGCCCCTAACTTTCTTCCAACCTACTCCTACACCACAAAACATAGCTCGTCGAGGCAGTCGGTGGTTAGCCATACGTAACACATGTCCCAACCACCTCAACTGATGAAGTTTCACCACTTCATCTATTGATCTGCCATCCTTACCTAGTACTCGTTTCCTAACAACAGCATTGCTTACTCGGCTGTCCCACGATATACGAGCAATGCTTCTTAAACATCTATGATCGAATACTAGTAACCTACGAACATCTTCTACTCTTAACGGCCATGTTTCACAGCCATAAGATTGTTCTGCCCTACGACTCAATGCTATACCTACACCGGCGAGGCCCCTAGAAGCAGCATCAGGGCTACCGGATACACGAAGGGTAAATCGAGCTGCTTCTTTATCTTGACATGGTGAGGTCAAATGAGTGATGCTACTCGGATCCTGTATGCGCGTTTCCGAGACGCAGCACACATCGATGGAACGAGATTCTAAAGTCCTAGCTAATGATGCCTGTTGCCCTATTTGACACAATGTCCGTACATTGAATGCTCCAACATGTAGTTTGGAACGGGGTTTAAGGAGACCAGGAACGACGTTTCACAAACTCGCATCGTTTGCATTAGCTGTGCACTGTAATAAATGAATGCGAGAAGAGTTAGTTGTGGAGATAAGAGAGGTATTAGGGAATGTAGAAAGGATTTGATTTTGAACAATTTGGTCTCGTGTGCTGTTACGGGTATGAGGGCGGTTGTCACTTCCCGGCTGCCCATACCGTGGAAGGTTGTTTCTTGACGAACCTGAAAAGGAAGATGGATTAGTGTTGGTGCGTGACCGCAGAGTCCAAGGGACAACTGCTTGATGCCGGTCACGCACGGCCTTTTTATGAAACGTTGTTTGAGGATTAGCTCCGTTCTTAAAGGCCCTTAGTGGGCACCCTTACCCAAGGAGACGGAAATCCGTGAGGTAGGGGAGGTGTGACATTTTTAGGGCCGACCTTTTCTAACCCTTCCTTCCTTGTGAGAAGGCAGCATCGCTGCAGATGCTGGTTGTCCGAGGGAAACACCTTACTGCTGTCACACCCCTCTGCAGTCTGCAGTACGACTTCGCCCTCAGACCTTGGGTAGCTGCTTTTAGTCTCATCGTTCTCCAATCAACCTGCCTGGCATGGTAGGACCTGCAGGAACATGTGTTCCAGCCAGTATAGCTCGGTTGGGTCATCACGATAGGCAAGCCCGACCACCACGTCAAGGTAGCAGCTTCGGTCAAAATAACGTTGATAAAAATATGCTAACCAAAAATAACCGACTAAACTGTGTTATGATAGTTGAAAAGTATTTATTTAGAAGAGTCATGATGCTTTGGGGTGAAAGATCAGATTCTTTGGAAGCCATAAGACTGATGTCTCTTTTCACAACCAGAGCAACAATAGATATAGGTAAATATAATGTCTGGAAATTGGGAGGACGATTCATATAGCAGCAGAAATGAGAAGATACAACCTGGCTATGCATGGAATAATAATACTCACTAGACACAACCTGGATAGCAAAAACTTGTCATTCAAGCTTTGATTATATTCTGTTGATAAAGGAGAAAATGGCCAACACACAAGGAGATGAACTGATCATTTCCATAGCATAAAATGTACTTATTGGATGAGAAACTCATGACTCCAGGGTAATCAAAGCATCCTTCTAAACAAAGAAGGAAAGGATTACAATAAATATCATTCAGTTTTATGGACCTACCAATGATGGCAGCAAAGATGGTGAGAGGCTGCAGTCCATCCAAGAGAATTGAACAGGAAAACACTTGAATGATATCAAAACACAGTACTGAGTACGAAAGCATCATTTTTTTAGTTTCAAGCTATACTGGTTGTTTGATATCTAGTCCTTACTACTTAAATGGATGTAGGTTAGGACTGAAGATTTGTTGATTGGAAGTTTAATATTTTTTAAACACTGAAGGGACACCAGTTAGCTTCGACAGTAAGATCTGTGGTTCAAACACCAAGCAATCTACAATTTATGCTCAACCTTCTGATTCATGTAACAATGTGCGTTTCCTAGTGATTGCTCAACTAGTTGAATAAAGCAAGAATATTAAAGGTAAGTAGGGAGTTGTCTTGTAAAGGGCTGAATAAATGTGTATGTAAGTCGCAGGTGCAGTTATTTTATACTGAATTGATTCAGATAGGCGGCGACCTAAGCTAAGTGAATAATCTACATACTGACAATAGCCCTTCTAGCTTTGCAACTCTCACACACCATATGACCTTCAGATAGTATGTGACTAGTTCATGATTGCTCAATATGTCATTACTTTACTTTTTAATAGTCACCACATGATCGATGTGGCTGGGAGCAGTGTAAATTAGGCTGTAACTAGTTAGTGAGATGTAGTTAAACGACGTCTGGTTTTAGAAGCAATTCCGACCTTAGCTGCTACCTTGACGTGGTGGTCGGGCTTGCCTATCGTGATGACCCAACCGAGCTATAATGGCTGGAACATATGTTCTTGTAGGCTTTACCATGCCAAGCAGGTCAGTCGGAGAACGGTAAGACTAAAAGTAGCAATTTAAGGTCTGAGGGTGAAATCGTACTACTGACTGTAGAAAGGTGTGACAACAGTAAGGTGTTTGCCTCGGACAACCAGCATCTGCAGCGATGGTGCCTTCTCACAAGGAAGGAAGGGTTAGAAAAGGTTGATCTTAAAAATGTATCACCTAACTTTACCCCACGTATTTCCGTTTCTGGCGGTTAGGCCGTCTGAAGAACGTCCCATAAAAAGGCCGTGCGTGACCGGTCTCAAGCAATTGTCCCTTGGGCTCTGTGGACACGCTCCCAGGTCGTCAAGACCAACAATAATCCAGCGGCCTTCTCAGGTTCCTAAAGAAATAACCTCCCATCATGAGGGCAGCCAAGAAGTGAAATCAGCCCTCATACCCGAAACACCACACGACACTGACTGACCTAGAAAAACAATTCAATAATCTATTAATAATTAATACTGTTGACTTTCAATCTCAATCCAATGCTATAAATAGAAGTCTTACATTTAAATATACAATTTTCGGTCCAACATATTCATTATTAGCTTCACTACTTGTAATGCATTCATATTTTCGTTTTAATGTTGCAGCCGACTCTTCAGCAGCTTTTTTAACTTGAATAAGAATATCATTTGCGACATTGTCAATGATTCGATGATGATTTGATTGTTCGACATTTTCATCACCACTATCATTATTGTAGACATTGTCTTCATCATTTGTTGTTGTCTTATCCATTTTAATGTGAGATAATAATAATTTATTAGATTGGGATTGAATATCGGCAGTAGGTTTTTGACAAGATGATTTTTTTTTCGAAACAAATGCAGTTTTACTAATCAATGTTTTACAAGACGATCCAGATGATATTGGTGATAATGATGAAGATGGAGTAGTGGATGATGCAATATTTAATAAAACAATAGGTTCATTATTTGAAAATTCTGGATTATATTGTGAACAATTGGATTCATCCATTTTCACTAGAGATTCTTCAATGTGAGAATGTTCATATTCACCGGATTGTATTGAACTCATAGATAAATTTGCATTTTCAAAAGTATTATTATTTACACACACCGTACGAGAATAATGATCATGTGATGATGATGATGATAGGGTGGTTGCATTGTCAGAATGTTTTCTTTTTACATCTGTAGGTGTAGAATTTGTTGAAATCAATGAAGAATCTTGATGTGATTGTTGTATAGAGGAGATATTCAAAGTTGAACTAGCCGAAGATGTTTGAATATCATTAATTTTATTTTTTCTTGGTCTACCTCGACCACGACGTTGTGGAATAGGAACGATAGGAGAATCAATCGGAGATGATTTGTTACATGTGTTATAGTGAGTTAATTGAGCTTCTTTCGGACTTTTAACACCACCAACTTAAAGTATGAACAGAGAAGAATGAAAATGGAAATGATTGTTAACAGTGATACAGTGAAGCAGCAATTAAACAGATCAGTCAGTCAGCTACAACATAGAACTTGATGCGTACGTACATCATTCAGTTCAAGTTACCATTATCACATTAGTACACAAGCATGGCATTGTCAATTCAAATCACATAGTGGTAGAGGTAGTAGATGTATTAGCAGTAATTGAGAGGATTAGGGATTCACAATATGATTCGAGAAGTATATTTCAGTAGAATCAGTTTGAAAAGAGAAAAAATGTCATGAGGAACTCAGGAGATTGTAATTAAAGAGAAGGCGAGAAAATGGATGCATCTGCGCCATTGCACACAATTTTCAGTCATGTCATTCATCTCAACTGCTGAAGTCTCACTACTTCATCTATTGATCCTATCATCCTTACCTAATACCCTTTTCCTAACACCAGTACTGTTTACTCGAATGTCCCAGATTATACGTGCAAATCTTCGAGGACATCTATGATCGAAAACTAATAACCTACGAATATCCTCTATTCCAAGCGGATATGTTTCATACCTGTATAGTAGGACGGAGTAGATTCATCTTGAAGTTGGTAAGCAAATCAAATGAAGATCAAGAGATGCTGGTAGATAGATACATGATATTAACCAACATTTGGGTTAGATTCTTTTGAAAAGTAACACACACTATTGACTAAAAATGTGACGAAATTTCATGAGGGACATTTCCTTGTATTTATGAATGAATTTCGCATATTTTTTCGTTTCATTTTAATCAATCACACCTTCTAGTTCACTTTCGGTTTTTTTCTCTCTCAAGTAGCTGATTGGGAATTTGCATACCAGTAACAAACAATATTGGACGGACGAAATTCTTGACTTTTCATGCGACAGTTTGAAATCATAAGTATATAAATAAGAAAACAATATAGTCATGTAATATCAGTTAGTTTTGTAAGAGACACACAAAGCTGATAAGTGACTAGTTAGTTCTCTACATACACTCAATTTATCTTTAGTTAAAAAATCAATTGAGGTACTACTGTTGGTAAAAAGATATATGTTCAAAAATTTTTAAACAAATATCATTTAACAGATTCAATAATGAATTATATACTGAATGGCATGTTGACTAGTATTCGTTTATTTTGCAAATAATGTGTTCAAGTAAAGATTAAAAAAAAGAAAATGCAACATGATAGTCTCTGAATTCCATTCTAATAATTTTTCAGGCTACGCGTATCATGTGTCGTAAAATATATTGACGTGATTTGAATGGTAGTGATTACGAAATGCAACAGAGAAACTGCGATTTTACTACATATAACGACAACAAAATGAACACATATTCGTCAGCTAATGAACATTCCTACCATAAGTATGGACTTGGAATACACAGATAGCATCGTTTTGTTTTCTGAAGACACTGGACAAAATGCAGAGTTATCTGACCACTTTAAGCTGCAATGCATGTTCAGGATGCGATTCACTTTCTCTAAATGCAAAATGTTGCTTCAGGATTGAATTGCATCGGTGCTGGAATGAGTGACAGAGAGTGAAATAGTTGAGCATGTCGACTACTTCAATTATTTCGGTTATTTAATTACAAGCAACTCGTAATATGAACCATTTAGCTCAACGATTTGCATAATCTCCCCGTATAAAAAACCAAATTACTGGTTCGAAATTGGTATCCGAAATTGTTACGCTCGTCTCTAGGTATGCTTAAACTATTACGGGTTCACCTTAGACGAATAACGAGAACAAACAATGAACCAGCGTCCAGGTAGGCTACTGTGATCCCCTGACCAAATTGAAATCAGTAAGAAGTCTTGATATAGTGTAGAAATTGTATTCTACAAACACCTAGCCAGAACACAATGAATTCAAGCACTCAAATCGCGTTTATTTATACTCTATAGAGACGTCCTTGGGACAGTCACAAAAATAGCAGACTAAAATGACACAGTAACCAATCACAGCCAAGGATTTTCCTGGAGGGAAATGTAATCTGAAGGTCAACATACCCAACAAAAATAAAATGAACTTACTAAATGATTTGTTACATTCTACAGTGGGGATGCACTTTTCCGTATTGTTATTCTTGTTCTATGAAAGCAATGATAACGTTTGGATCATGTAAATAACAGTTTAGGTATAGTTGTGTTAAATTATTAATGAAAATCACAAAAAACTTTTTATGTCTATTACTGAAATCATGAATCCATCATTGTTCGACTACCATTAGAAACCTGGAAGCATTGGACGACCGTTTCTTCCTGATATGGGACTAATCGGCAGTGCACATTCACAACTCCCACCATTGTCAGGATTCAAACTCAGGACCTTCGGTCTTGTGCGCGAACGCTTAACCTGTGGACCATTGAGCGGTGTTAATGTATAACTCTGATGATGATTTTGCACAACCTCACCCATTTTTCTTTGGTAGTTACTGACTTCACTCGACAGCGTTGAGCTCCACTGGTCACGTCTTCTCATTAGAACTTCGAGAATTTCCTCACGAAGCTAGTCACTAGTGAGTATATTGTACGATTTTTCATTAAAGAGTTATGGAGATCAGTGTTTATTACTGAAATCATGAATCTATCATTGTTAGACCACCAATAGAAATGAGTCCCATAGCAGGACTAAACGGCTCTCCAGTGCTTTCAGGTTTCTAACTGTGGTATGACAATGATTGATTCGTGATTTTAGTAAGAAACACCAATCTCCATAACTCTTTAATGGAAAATTGTTATTTTTAGCAAAGAAGTAGGGAACTGTTAATAAGTAATAAGTAGCTAGTTAATAATGTAATTGTACATGATCTATGACCATTACAGCTAATTTCGTTTGTGTAGCCGCGTAGTATTATTAGCCATCATATAAGCACTGTAGCTCGAAGCCAAGTACATAATTCTGAGTTAATCAGATAGCTACTTTTAAATTAAGTTGTGTAACATATATGAAACGGTTTTAATTTTCCCGTTGTTGGCACATAGGACTGCAGTTGACTAGTCATTATAGGTATGTTCGTCTTGAGCTCATATTCTCGTAGTAAAGACTTGCCATATACTGGTTCGAGTGCCAATGTGAACATAAGTACTGAAATATAAGGCGAGAATCATTATGGAGTTCCATGTGAGAAGGGATATCTGTCCTTGATTGCACTGCTAGTCACGATTCAATTATTATAATTTTTAAAATGTTTTAGAGTTCAAATCGAACAGTGTAATGCGAGATTGGGATACAGATTATGTAGGTGCCGAATTCAAACTCCTGGTTATAGCTGTTACTTTGAAATGGTGATCAGTTTTGTCCTCCACGTTGATTCGATCGTGCTACAGTGGCTAAGACACTTGTTCCTCTAGGTCGTACGATGTCAGGTAGGCTAACCGGTTAACAGTAAGAATAAAGCAGCAACTCAAGGTCTTAGGGTGGATTCGTACTGTTGGCTACACTGTATGTCGGTGGTAAGGTATTTTCTCTGCAGCGATTCTACCTTCTTGCAATGGAAATAGGGAATTTGAAAAAGTTAGCCCTAAACATAGTACACTCAATATTTCTCCACAAATTTATATCATTGATGGCAAGACCTTAAAAATACAGATTAAACACATCAGGAACCACTCGTATGCATAATCATCATTGTCTGAATCGATTTATTCATACTTTTGTGAGGCTATAAACAATGGTATTATAAAAGTGTACGGCAAAAAACAATTGATTCTACACAAAGAACTTACTTTTAAATGATCACGAGATAAATGTTCCTCTGATGAAAGGTGTGAATAACTTTTCAAAACTTTTTTATTCATATGATTATATAACCTTGAGGAAGTAGACAAGTGAGATTTCGGACGACCACGATGTCTTTTAAAAGAATGACCAACAAGTGGCTGTACGGTTTGTGGAATATTGCGATGAGAATCGCTATGATGTTTAGGAGAAAAATGAAATTTATGATCACTTAATTCATTTTGACTATGTGTGTGTAACTTTGAAGATCTTTGAAAGGGTTTCACGCGACTAATCTGATTCATTTGAGCTTCCACACTTGTTAAATCGCCAATTTCTTCTGAAGTTAATCCGCCAGGCATATCTTTACTAGCTTTTTGTAAAGCTGAAAAAGTCATTTGTTTGCGACAAAATGCCAAGAGCTGAAAAAAATGGAAGAGAGATTGTTACAAACAAGACTCAGTGAAATGAACATTTAACCAATGAACTTTGTGGATTACAGTACTTTTTTATATCAAGACTACATATGGGTAACGATTATTTAGATGCAAGAACTAAGTAGATAAAATGGAATAGAATAAAACAAATAGTCGAGGAATTGGACCACACCGGATGTTGATAAGTATGTTTTAAAACGCGACAAAGAGTAAATAATAAGTCAGCACATGTACAGCTAGGTTTGGAGGCTGCACGAATCTCTCAGGTTTATTGATCCCTAAAAGCAGTTGAGAATCGGATAATCTTGGACATTATTAATTAGACTGACGGATCTATGGTTATTACAAGACTTTATTCTCCGATTAACAGTCCTCAGATGTCGTCCATTAGAAGTTAGTTAGTTATCCGCAACGTAGAACATAGCACGTACGTAAATCAGTTCAAGTTTCTATACCATATTGATAAAGAGAGGAAATTGTCAGGTTAAATCC